GCCCGAAACGTCGGTTTGTTTGAAAAAACAAATATACGCGATTTAAATCCGGAAAAATAGTTTCATTTCCAATATGAATATTTTTCATTATTTTTTAAATAGTGGACAAAAACACAACTGCTCGTTAAGAAACACCGTTGTGGCTTTAGCACGCAACGGTGTGAAAATCGTTATAAAGATCCAAGTTGTCTCTAACGATTGTACGTGGAAGCGTGATGGGTTAAAAACTATCCATTATTTGCACACGAGCCCAATAGACTAAGACAAGTAGATTATTTATATGTATAATCGAAAGTGGGAAACCCCACTTAATGAGTCCGCTTAATTCATACAAAACTGACCTCCACCTATTCTGATTGTTGCTTATCAGCCCTAATTAACACAATGGCGTCATTTCGTGCAAACGTAAACCGAAATTAATTTATTATCATTATATTTACTAAGAATATCACTAACAAATTATTTTGAGTGTTAATTGATTATGCACCCTAATAACCTAGATATTGGTTCCTTAAAAACATAGTAATTTTCTTAGTTGTAAAGAAACACTTGTCTTAAACTGTTGTTACTAATTTTGATATAAACATTTGTACTAATAATGTTGACATAATCTTTTCATTGTAGTTTTTTTTTGATCTTGTCAATGGAATTTTTTAAACAGTGCTAAATAGTAAATTTACCCTTAATGATCCCTAGTAGTTAATTTATGTGAAATTGGTGTGAATTTATCTGTTATCAAAAAGTGTAAGCTAGTTTATGTGGATGCTGATATGGTACCTGAAGATTTCTTGTAGTTTTTGATAGTTTGTTCTAAATTTTACTTATGAAAGTTTTTGCTGTCACCTTAGGTGACAGTATGAGGAATTATTATGTTAAAAAAAAATGAAAATATCATCTAGTGCCAATTTCGCCAACTATGATCACATTAACCAATGCCCTGTTTTAAATTCAATTTTAAAAGTTAAACTTAATTAAAACCAAAATTGAATTTTAAAACCGGACGTAAACATTTTAACACAGTCATTAAAACCTAACACATGCTTCTCTGAAAAAAATTTCGAAATGGCGCTTTCACACTTCAAAACATCGACGATATATGGATGCTCATACAAACCAATTAGTGCACTGTGATCCTTACTTCACTTAGCAGTAAGCACAGGCACGTTTCAACCATTTCAGATAGGTGTCATGTCTCACAATTTCGATTTTTAATTTGTTAGGTTGCAACATTCAAAATTCAATGTGTCTCTTTCTAGCACATGGTACATTCATTGGCAAATTGCGTCTAGAACCGAACAAACCAACTCAGCTGCCAATCGACTCTGTGTTTCATTTTGGGGCTTCCACCAGGAACTATATCATCAGGTAAGTGTTGTATTTCAAATTAGAACGAAAAGACATTGAGCCAAAGTCAAATAATCATTTCTTTACTAGGTTGAATTTTTCCACTAGAAAACGTCATTTTTTAAGCTACTGCTCGTTCACTGTGCCGACTTCCCTGAGAAGAACAATCAAGGAATTGCCCTTTTCAAATAAACTTAAATCAAAGGCAAATAATTTGTTCCATAGGTAAACATTTTTACATTTGAAAACGCAATTTTTAAGCTACTTTTTAAACACTGCTCGTTCACTACGCTGACCTCCCTGAGAAGAACGAGAAAAAATCTCCAGGGATTGCTCTTTTCAAATAAACTTAAATGCTATAGAATACATTTTTAATTATATTTGTGCGGAATCTAGACTCATGTTGTCTTTCCATACATCTTCCTGTAACACGTGGTCTACAATTTTGTAATATGACTTCAATTAAAATACTTTTAATGTAAGTTTTAAACTTAAGAAATGGTAATCTTAATATATGCTCCGGAAACTTATTGCAAAAGAATGAAATCGTGGTATCATGAATTTGGACTTAGTTCCAGGGTTAATATTATGGACATCTTCTTTCGAATTATGTACATTTTATTAACGAAATTATGTACATTTTTACGGGCAAAGCATTTGAGTAAATGTACTGTGATGCCACAGTCATGATACCAGTCTCTTTAAAATTTTCTCTGAGAGAAACCCGAGAACCTAAACGGTACACAGAACGAGGCGCTCGTTATTAATTTAAAGGGCAGAAGATTGAATTTTCGATGTGAATTTTCGATTTTCATTACTGTTTGAAACGAACGTTTCAGAGAGCGACCGACAGGGAATACGCGAGGTATTATGGAAGAATTGCCTAATACGGAAACGGAAGGCGCGCTATTGGGACTGCCCGAAACACAGACGGAATTAGATGTAAGATTTTTTTTTTGTATGTACTATTGACTTATGACTTCCACTGTAGACACGCAATAAATGGCCCAACTTGTTACATCTGTATCATCATCGACCCATATTCGTCCAACTGCTAGTTCGCTTGAATTATCAATGTTTACATGTCTATTAAAAATACAAAGAAGAGACATATTTTAAAGTTTTTAATTTTAATTTAATATACATAATCAAATCCGCCTGCCTTTATTAATAAGTATATAAAAGTCGATTTCGACACTGGCAGGCCAACTGTGAATAAGAATAAAAACGGCAATATCGCAATTAGTAATATAGTCTATCTTTTTTGAAGACGGAGTAACATGACAGTTCATTGCACAAAAGTGTTGCCCGCTCGCGAGCAGGTAGTGATTGCAATCGATAAATATACTATCGACTATCGACTGAATATTGGTCACGCTTATGGAATAAATGTAGAATGTCGTGACAGATATTTGGCAAAATTTTACCACCTTCACAATCTATCGACAAAACTGTCGACAACTACTACATGACCATTTACAATTTTGTGAAAACGTGCAACCCTACAAATGTCATTTTACTCCCTCTGAGTCACCGAACATGCTTTCTATATGCGCTCCCTCCATGATCTTTAAGAAAGTAACACGTAACGGACACTGGCAGAATAGAGACTATATAAATTGGTCTTATAATCCATTCATTAAGGAAAGAAAGTATGCAAATTATTTGAAATCTTTTTCTGATACTTTGAAACAGTAATCCCCCTAAATCGCGTATACATATTTTTTTTTACGAACAGTCCACGTGACCATAGGATCTATGTATCTACCCCCGTTCTCCGAAATAAGTAATACTCCACCAATTCCAAAGACAATATCAAGTATTTCTTAATTCTCACCATGCGTCGTTTAATTTAATCTGATTTGATGTGTCAAACAACCTGTGATTAAATCTGTAAGATACCTTCAATATGTTTGTATGCCTAATGCTTGACCGGACACAATGAAATTGTAATTATTTCATACATGTCCTCATACATACATATTTCATACATGCCAAATACTGTAGAGAAGCTCTGTCATTGGACAGGAATGGCATCAGAATGCTCACTAGAGTCTTTACAGGACATTGTGGCTTGAACAAGCACATGTCAAATATTGGGCAGAGAGAGAATAGAGAGTGTAGATTCTGCCACGAGGCGGATGAAACTCCTGCTCATCTTCTTACCCAATGTTATCCCTGGTACGAAGCTCTATACTGGGAAGGCACATGCTACAACCAGAGGACATTAAATCTGTCGGAGCCAGGAAAGTCCTTCAGTTCTTCAATGCTGTCGGCCTTGGCTCCGAAGTGTAATTAGTGGTGATCACAATAGATCAACTGATGGTCGCAGTGATGAGGGGCTACATATATTAATAATAAATAAATAAATATGCCCCGAATGAAGCTATCCTAGTAATAAATAATAATACATGTCAACTTCTATACGAGTCATCCAAACATAAATTCTAAACACTTCACCGGCAACACCTACTCTCGTTACAAAAATGTGTTTAATTTTTTGAAATTTTAATATTAATTATTAGTTTTCATATCCCCATGTAATCTTCTTCGTAGCATTTCTAAATGTACATTTTTTACTTTGATTTATTACACCAAAACATATTTACAATCATTATTTTCACATACAGTTACACTTATATGTATATTCAAATCCGCACATGCACTTACATATTGAATACGTTATTTTAGATGCACTATTCACACTTTATTACATTTATTATTTTAATTAACAATTTCCCTCCTAGTGGTTTATTAGATCTTTCATTACAAACAATTTCTAGATTTAGTACCTCTCGTTGGTTCTGACTGAAAACCAGCGCCTTAGCGAACTTAGGCATATGCTGAATGAGCGCCATTTCACTGCTATGACAAAAATGTTTTATTTTTCCTTTTGTATTCAATCTGTATTTGTGTCATACTTGTGAATAAAGTGTTTATCTGTCTATACAAACCGTGTTTTTACAAATAAATGAATTATAAATACTGTATACGGGATGGCTCTGCTAAATACCAACTGCCGCCTTGGATTCAATCGACAAGCGTGCCGAGAGGCTTATAGGTGACTCGGCATTAGTGGAGGCGAAGCTGCAAAGCCTTGAACACCGCCGTAAAGTTGCCTGCTTATCGGTATTCTACAGGATATGATACAGGAGAGTGTGCGATGGAAATGTATAATTTGATTCCGCCTTCCCCTTTCCATCATCAGGGGACTACACGTGGGCTGGGATACCACCCCTATGTTGAGGATATTCCAAGAATTCGCACGAAGCGTTACGCTTCCACATTTATATGGCGAACGGCTATGGGGTGGAATTCTTTACCTGTAGACTTGTTCCGTGAAAGTTATAACTTGGACCTTTTCAAGGCGAGAGTAAATAGGCATTATTTAGGTGTGCTTGCTACATCGTTGACCTCATCATCACTTTCTATCATGTGAGATGGTGGTCAAATGCGCACTTATGTTTTATAAAAAAAAAAATATTCTCTATAACAAACCAATTAAATAAACAGCCTCCGTGGCCGGACGATTACCATGCCGGACTACCAACCACAGAAGATTACCGGGCCGAGAGAAATATTTGTTTGTCCTACATTTATTTCTGTCGTGAGTTTGGATATCATTTGTGGTTGTCTTTGTTGTGTCCATGGCATCCGCGATACATGGTTTCCCTAGTGCTGGGCTATGAGTATTATTATATTAAATTTTAGCAATAAAACCAATTTCTTGATTCGCAGTCGATGGAACACGTGACTTCTCCGAGGAGAATGTTTAGTTAATATTTTAGATGATATAAATATTCTGTTGTACCAGGCAAATTTGTTTAATTAATGTGTTATATTTTAGAATCTAACGGAATTCAACACGGCGCACAATAGGCGAATCTCCATGCTGGGAATATCTACAGATGATGGTACAGACGTCATGAAGGTAAGAATGTTGATTTATCTTTTTTTTATGATGCCTAGTGACGTTTCGAACAAATTGTGTGCCTGGTGGAAAGAGACAGGCCTGTCCATAACTGTCATAGTACCACCCAGAGCTTTAAATCGCAAAGATCTCAGGGGCACTCCCACTGCGCTCGTTACCCTGAGATATAAGTTGACAAGTGCCATGTGCCTGTAATTTCACCAGCACCCTTACCCTTCAAAACCGGAACGCAGTAATGCTCACATTACCGCTTGGCGACAGAAATAGGTAAGGTTGCAGTACTGGGCGAATTCTTTCATAAGGGGCTCCACTGCTTCTTTTGTTCTGCCATTATCCCTTTTTATTCTATTAATTGGCGTCGTCGCATTATATTTTCTTTTAATCCCTAGTATTCGTCATTTTGTTGTTCATCTTTATATCATCTTTCACAGAATCCATCCCTCTTTTTTTTCTTTTATTTGGTCTTCTTTTCCATTTACAACTTTCGTCTTACATAATAAAAAGACTGACTAATGACTCCTCTGGTGTATGCGTGCGTGTGCGCGCGTGCATTCTTATTTAAATTTATTAGAGTTAAGGTGGTTTAACACGGGCGAGGCGATACGAGGCGAGACGAGGATTGAAATTTGTTTACAAAATTTCAATTTCTCCTAGCGCATCTTCGGTGGAAATGGTCTGGATTGACGAGGATGGGCCTCTCTTGCTCTCACTCGCGCCTCCAGAATTGAAATATTTGTTGCTGTAATATTGAATCGTATTGCTGCCTACATAGAGTATTATACTCTTTAACGGAAACACGATTTCTCGCGCGATCTCGCGAGAGCCCGCACGGTCTCGCGTGAGCTCGCGATGGCTATTAATATCAATCGCGAGATTGTAGGGTACGTACGATTTGAGAATTAATAAAAGATGGTTTGGTCTAATTCTTCTTCCGTTAACGTATTTAATAATAATGATTTACGAGACATATTACTTCAGCCGCCTATTTATCGCTAGATGAGCTGAACAGCACTGAATCTTCACTATCCACAACCGCAGCGCGAGATCACGCCAGCTATTAATGGCAATTTTTGATGGAAATAGGACGGCGAGATTTCAATTCTCGTCTCTCCTCGTCTCGTCTCGCCTCGCCAGTGGAAAACCACCTTTAGTCTCGATTTTTTTTCAAATTCTTACACTATGAACGCGGTTGCGTACACTCCCAAACAAATTCTAATAAATTTAAGCCGAAATAAGAATAAGATTTTCTTTGTTAAATTTTATTTATTAATACATCTCCTTACTGCAGTTTAAAATGAATAAGTAGGTACGAGACTCATAATCGTTATTTACCTTGTATATTTTTATTTTTTTTACAGCCAGCTACAGGCACAAAGCGTTCCGCCACCATGCCAAGCGGAGTTCCAAAGAAGCAGCGACGCAACGTGTCCTTTAACGAAGAAGTAGACATCATAAACCCAGAGGACATTGACCCCACAGTGGGCAGATTCCGCAACCTAGTCAAGTCCACAATAGTGCCTAATGCAAATGCTCCAATGAAGAAGTTGAAATTGCAGAGCTCTGATGATGGTGAGTATATATCAATTAACATTATTTTGGGCATCTAGATGTAGCTTATACATGTAGTAGTAGCAGTAGAGCTCCTTGTGAAAGAGTTCGTCGAGGGAAGTACTGCCTTACCATACCCTAAGCAGTAATGTGAGCATTACTGCATTCCGATTTTGAAGGGTAAGGCTGCTGGTGAAATTACACGCACATGGGACTTGGCAACTTATGTCTCAGGTAGACGGGCGCAGTGGCAATGCCCCTCAGATCTTTGCGATTCAAAGCTCTGAGTGGCACTGCAACTGTTGTGGATAGGTGTATCGCTTGCCAGCATGCGCACGACTTGTTCGTCCCGTCACTTATTATTATAAAAAAAAATTCGTACCCTATAAAGCCATATGTGATCATATTGACCTCTCCTACATAAAGTATCGTATGTCGAAATTGCCAAGTTTACAGGGGAGCGTTTTAAAGTTCTGAATTCACTGAAATAAGCATAACACGTGACTTTATCATTTCTCAGTTTTATTCGGCATAGCTCGTTATTCACATAGACAGTAGAGTATTATAAAATCCTAGATATCGGTTACATGATCTATTAGATGATCTATGGGAGTAACGAGCTTTGACAAATAAAACGGAGAACTTTTAAAAGGCTCCCCTGTAAACTTGGCAATTTCGACATACGATACTTTACGTAGGAGCGGTCGATATGTCAAAACCGCTTTTATCACACGAAAGTGATAAAAATAAGTACATGGAACAAGTTACGTAATAATTATGTGAAATTGTGTAAATCTCCTATTTAAGAATAAAAAAGTTACCAACTAATTTCGTTCATAGTATCTTTAAACCTCTGTGCTGAAAGTTGTCATTTTGCAGATGTGGCTTTATTACACCACGTTTCCTAATTATACGATTTGACGAGACGAATGTGGGGTTTGTCATTTATTTTTTTAATTCATTTTCTAATTTTCAGGCCAGCACCATCACTCGTTGAGGCTGCAGGAGATCTCCCGAGGAAATAACCTGTACTCCGACCTGCCTGCGCCCAGTTCTCACCTCAGTCTTATTGGTGCTAGGTAAGAACTAGACCCATAATAGTAAACAGATTATTTAATTTATTCATCATCAAATTCAACATGTCGGAAAATTCACAAATTCACACGTTTAGCGGTAAAAAGTGAGAATATAAAATATTAGCGTTTGTATTTAAATAAACAAGAATTGTTTAAAGCAGCAGTTAATTTAATACATTTTAACAGTTTATCTCAAATGGCTTTGGTTAATTCCGCATAACAGTGAGTGTTGAATCAATCAATTTGGAAAAAATATGTAGTAAAATTAAGGACATACACTGATTACTATATGGTGTAAAAATACGATTCGTAAAAATTTTCACGATAGAAAAAAAAAGCACAAACTTTTCGAAATTTTGCACGAAAACCGCTACATTCAATAGGTACTTTACATATACCAATGATATTTTTTTTTATATCAACTGAACTAAATAGACCACGTATAATATTACGATATATATTTATCAAATGGCTTAATCCTGATAATTTTAATATAAGGAGAAAGAGAGCTTACAAAAAGCTTTTTTCTGCAGATTGGGTCTCTCCCTGCCGAACCCCGCACCCGACGTGGAGCTGGAAGGGCCCGAGCCACATCTCCACATACATCCTCCGTTACCACATACAGGTAAATTACTTCAAGCAAATTATATCGTCGGGGATAGTGCAAATCCGCGTATGTAGCACTGGTAAAAGGCTTTACTTACTAAACATTATTATTTTGTTATTTCAATGGCTCCGACTTACATTTTTGCACACTAAGCATTAATTTATGTTGACTACGGACGGATAATAATAGATTTCCGTAAATCACGCTAATTTGGTTGCCACGACATTTACGCGGAATTGATTTGGCGACAAAATTACCGAAATGGAGACTCATAATCAAATGCTAGTTACGCGTTAGTAATTGCACTATTCCCGACTATATTTCGACGGATTTCTAAAATAACGGCCTATCTAAAAAACATATAATATATAAGATAGTTTAAAAAAAGTGAAGCGCAAATTTTACGATCTTGGTGCCTCGGTTTTCGTTTTGGGAAATGCATATGGTGAACAAGAGATGGAACACAGTAGAGAGATAGAGCTCATATTTTACCACATCTGGCATGCAAAATTTTACTTATATTGATTGAATTAATTGATTAGATTACAAATAATGTCAGAGACGTGCACAAAACTTCCTTAAAGTTCTAATTTTATTTCAATACATAGTCAATTAAATTAATAACAAAAATTATGAAAGTCAAACAATTATAATATCAGTAGTAATGTTTGTTCAAGAAATCGATCACTGTGTAGTCATTTTTGTCTTAAAACCATGCATGCATTCAATCTATTTTCAAACAAACTATTTGGTAACATTTTAATGTTATAATAATAATAATAATAACGCACACACTCAACATAGCCCCGAACTAGGGAAACCCTGTGTGGCAGGTGCCATGGACACACACATACACTACCACAAATTACACCCAAAACTCACGAGAGAAATAAATATAAGCCATACAAACATTTCTCCCGGCCCGGGAATCGAACCTGGGACCTCTGCGTGGCAGTCCGGCATGGTGACCGTTCGGCCACAGAGGCAGAGGCAGTTGTTTGATAGAGCATTTCACATTTGGACACACATACCATTGCATTGATTTTTATAGTAGGACAGTCTAGGTACATTAATATAAACCAGTCTATTTGGATCCCTTTTACGTCTACTATGGATATCTCTTCTTTTTCTTGGGCGCTAAACGAAGAAGTCCTGGGTTCCATTCCGGGTACGAACAATTTGGGAAATGAACTTTTCTATATCGGTTCTGGCCTGGGTGTTTTGGGCTGTCCAGCATGCCCGGAGTAAATGCTGTTGCTCTGATACTCATAGTGCAGGAAATTATCCAATTTGAGAGAAAGAATGGTATACCGGCACTATGTTGTCTTTGATTATTTTTATCAATATAAAACACGGTGTCTTATTCATAATATAATTTGGCGCATTCTGAATACAATTGTAATAAGCAGAGAACAGGACAGGGAGAGTTTATTTTTACTCAAACTCTAGAGTGATGAATATCTCTTTCTAAATTCCCTGAATTATTAAATATAAAAGGCAAATCGAAAGAAAATAGTTATTGTAATATTAATTTACTGTTAACTGCCTCCGTGGCCGAACGGTTATCATGCTGGTCCGCCACACACGATGTCCCGGGTTTGATCCCCTGGCCGCGAGAAATATTTATGTGGCCTGCATTTCTCTCGTGAGTGAGAGGGGCTACGAGTTTTGCGTTGTTAAAAAAAATATACGATATTTTACAACAATGATATTCAATTAATTTTTGTAAAATTACTCCAATAGTTTGTTGTAATTATTAATATAAAGAACACTAAGAAAAATTTTTTCTATGCGGCTTAATGATAATGAAGTGACCTTTGAACACGTTCCAAGCGTCGAGGTAAAATATGTTTAGACACGAATTATACATATAGGGTGGCCGCAGTGGATGCGAAATAAAAACGGAAAAATGTATAGATATTATAGTTGTAAGAGTGATAGTAGCTTAGATGGCGTCTGACACGGTATGCTAGAAGACGTCGGTTCGAATCCGGTCAGATAGAAGGATTTTTTTCTAAGTGTTCGATCTTTGTTTTAATAATTATAACAAACTAGTGGAGTTGTTTCTTGCTGGTAGCTGTAAAGTTACCTAATTGGGCAACGAAATACTTTCATAGCTTTCTCATAGATGGTGCTACGGGTAAAAAGTCGTCAAAAAACTAAATACAAATGATCCGACAACAAGCACATAACAAAATTCGTGAGGTCCGCGGGTTCGTTCCGTGGCTTAGTTGACATCTGGCACGGTTTGCTAGGAGACGTCGGTTCTAATCCGGCCGGATCGAAGGATTTTTTTCTAAATGTTCAATCTTTGTATTAATAATTATAACAAACTAATGGAGTCTCGTATAGATATTTCTTAACTAAAGGAATTTAAGTCAATAAATATTAGACAACATCTCATACGTTGAACTGATCTCAAGGTAAGTAGCTAAAGCACTTGTGTTATGGAAATCGGAAACAACAATGATAGCACAAACACCCAGACCCGAGACAATATAAAAAGACCGTCAAACGCTGGCTTAAAAATAAAAACTATGATGAAACAGAAGGTTTACTAGAAGTTATTTCATAATTATATATAGGTTTACTAGAAGTTATTTCATAATTATATTGTAACAGCTAATTGTTTTATTCTTAATTAAACATAGCTATTTTGTTTTTAAGCACTAATATAATGAATCTGTGCACAAACAAGATGCTTAAGATACAAGTAATAATGTACTTAGTTTAGGCATCGCAACTATACTGGTAGGCTTCTAATAATTAATTGTATAGCTTTATGATTAGTATAATAATTAAGGTTTAATTTTTTTTTTTTTTACCAATTGCATATTAGCTTCCCTTACATTTGTTTTTGTTTTTTTACTTATATTTAGATTAAGTTATATTGAAATAAATTTATCTTTATCTTTATCTAATATGTAAAAGTTAGTTTTCTACTTTGACCCGGCTGGGGATCGAATCCGGGACCTCAGAGATGGCGACACCATGAAAACCGGTGTGCAAGCCACTCCACCACAGAGGCCGTTAAAAATGTATTACCCCTTTTTTACTTATAATATCTGTTTTCCACAGCACCAGACGAAGCAGGCGGTCCATCTAACGAGCCGAAACGCAAGAAATACGCCAAAGAAGCGTGGCCAGGGCGTAAGCCGGGACACATACCCGGCGTGTGAAACTAACAAGTATCCATTTAAGAGGACTATTGAATTAATGCGGCTTTGTGATACGGGATTCCACCCGTATACATTGGGGTATCATCTACCGGACTCAAGTATCCTATGGCATTTTTTTATTGTCACACATACCCTAATACCTTAGGGTTTAATATAGGAAGAAGTTTTCAATTGCTCTGTTAAATACGGGTCACGAAATCAACGCGCCGTGTACGTGAAAACGGCCTTATAGAGATAGTGTGTAACAGCGTTTACTTATTTGGTTTTCATTGCATTAGGTCACGTACACGATCGAAATGAATGTCTGTTGAATGGGCAAATGTTATTAATTACAATTGACCGATTGAAAGTATTGTGAAGTCCCGACTTCAAATAAAATGCTTGTATAGTGTATTTAGATTAGCGACCTAGTATAGGCTGCTTTCTTTTGCACTACTTCATAAAAATAATAAGGACATACGATAGAGGCACAAGGTTAAGTGGGCCTTAACACGCGTTAAAATAGGGTTCGTTTTCTGTTAAATAAATCTCGCTTAGTGTTAAAAAAATAATTTAGTAGCAGTAGAGCTCCTTGGAAAAGACGAACGGACGAATGTCCACGGAAATACTGCCACCTCACGTATTTCTGCCGCCAAGCAGTATGTGAGCATTACTGTGTTCCGGTTCTGAAGGATAATCGACTTGTCAACTTATGTCTCAGGGCGACGGGCGCAACGGCGGTCTCCCTTCAAATCTTTGCGATTTAAAACTCTGAGTGGTATTGCAACTATTATGGACAGGGGTGTCGCTTGCCACCAGGTGCACGACTTGTTCGTCCCGTCCATTGACTTACAAATAAATGGACGACGGGTCTAATACAAAAACCACGAAAAAAAATGTCCCAAGTCAACCTATTCGAAATTTAAATTGTAATGTCATCGCAGTCGATACTGTCAGTCGAACAAACGAAGACTAAAGCGGAGTTTGGCGCTCTGTATACGATTTTAGCGCCTTACAAGTGCGGACACTTTTTAGCGCGGACCCGACGTCCATATAATTGTAAGTCAATGGTCCCGTCACTTAATATTATAAAAAAAGTATTTTCAAGAAAGCCAAAGTCGCAGGTACAGAGTCACAGATGAGTAAGCAACACGGGTCCGGACCGCACAGATGTGAGAGCTAACAAATTACCTTACTATTATGAATGCGGCTGTAGTGGCTTATCTCAAACCAAGGCCGTGTTTTGTCAGTACTAGGTCGCTAACTAAAATATAGAAGCATCGCAGTGGCGCGTCTGTGACGCGATTTTCATACAATATCTAGTCTAGTGATGCACGATTTTTTGCTTTGAATCGATTTTTTGGATCGTAATGGATCATATGCCTCTGAATCGATCCAGAGATTGGATCGTATGATTTTGAACGATCTCATAAAAATCGTTTCAAAATTAATTTCGATACAAAAAAATCATTTTGACAGCCCTTTTTGGCTTCAGCCGGTTACTTTTATTTAAAGAGATACTAGGCTGTGACAATAGATGTTCAGATGGCACAGAAGAAGCGAAAATCGCCAAATATTGTAGACTTATTAGATATTGCCAAACTGTAGGCCAATAAAATAGAGGTTCAAAAAGAGACTGTATGGTTTAAATTATGAATACGATCTAGACTACTCTATTCGCCTTAATGTTGAATCGGTTTACTTAAAAATAGTATTGAAATGAATCGATACAAAAAATCGCTAGATCGTATACACTTTAATCGATCTTCATGAAAATGGAATCGTAATGTGTATCCCTAATTAAAAAATCTGCAAAAGCAACGCGCGCGTGATGTGACGGTGGCGCCACTGCAGTGTTTCTATAAGCGTTAAATTTAAAGTATCCTTGAGAGAGAATAGGTTCGTTTTTTTAATATTTTTTTTATAAGGCTCTTTCTCGTATGGAGAATGTGTGTCGGCGGCAGCTCAAAGAATATGGTGTATTGATGCGTAATTTTATCAATTAACAAGTGTCATTTCACCCTTAAGCAAAGAATTAGTTTAGCATTTAATAGTCAAATATAAGAAAATAGTTTATTTTTCGTTTATTTTGTTTGAGTGCTTTTTTTGTCGTTTTAAAGAACAAAAAAAACGACTTCTTACTATTGCTAGTTAATTAATTGATCTAGCCACAAAAACGCATTACATGTGACATCCCTAAACATCTGATTCGAGCATTTCATCGGCGTCAAGACCAACGAACGAACGAACCAACACTCAGATGGCTTTTTACAACCTGTTCGCTGCGTTAAAAATAACGCTAAGAACATTTCGTATGCATTGAATAGGCACTTTAGGATCCACATAAAATCGACACATAGTTTATACCAAATTGACAGCGATACTTTGGTTTCTTATATAATATTTTATGACGTCATCTGAAATAAAAATCAATTTTTGTTGCAATAAAATCTATTGCATAGTTTTAGGTGCCAAAAACAAAGAAAATAACAGTTGTAGCTGCTGTAGCACCATGACGCATATTTGGTGTAATATGTGTTACGGGCGTCTTCTTTTCATTTTGTACTGTTTTCATTATTTTCGAACCGTGCTTTTATTGATTTTAAGAAAGGTTGATAAGTACGTGCCTGCGTAAGTGTCTAAAGACTTAGAGAGAAGTTTTTTTACTATTTACAACACAATCTGTGGAGATTGATTATTATTATTTTTATTTCTTTTATTTATTCCTTTGTGTAAAAAAATTCTTAAGACGTGCTTATTAATCATGAGTGAAAAAAACTGGGATGGGTAATTTTCAGGTTTTTGTACCTATAATCATTTCATTGGCAAGTATTATTATTTAAATATTCTAGAATATTATCATGCAGTATTATTTAATATTTGAGTATAGTAACCTGAAATATATTTTGATAATTCACGATGATATACTCTAATACTAATAATAAAAATGGTCACCAAAATTAGGTCGGGAAAACTAACCTAAAAACCACCCGGATTTTAATCGTTAGAACATTTTGAATAAGAGATCAACATAACGGGGTACCTACGGCATAATTTGCGATAGCGATCTGAAACAACGTGCACTTTCGTCGTCATTCTCTTGAAAATCAATATGGTGCCACCAGAGATGGGCAGTGGGTTAAAACCTAAACAACCCGCCCGAGTTTTAATCAAGTTTTTACCCAAAATACACGGATTTAACCCATTTCTGGCCAAAATCATGGGCAGACACTATTAACACGTCTTAAATAATATTTCATTTAGTGTGTTAATGAAAATGTTCAGCAAATAATGAATCAAGTTATAGTTAAATAAAAATGACGTTAAATTAAAATTGTTATAAGATCATCGCGAAATATACATATTTTCAATTTCAAAATTAGCCATTTTAACGCTTGTATGTACTCAATCAGTTCAAATTGACCATTTATATTAATATTTTCTTATAAAATAAAAACCTACCGCAATGTAATCATAAACTTGTAAGGAGATACAAAAATGTAATCTAACTAATGCCTACCTACATATCGTCGGGGATTGTGCAATTACGCGTAACTAGCATTTGATTATGAGTTTCCATAAATTAACGCTTACTGTGCAAAAATGACAATGAACAAAACACCTCTGATTTCGATAGTGACTAACATTAAAAACGGCTTGAATATACAAATTATCAAAATTGGCATAATCACAATAAAATTAATTATCGTCGGGGATAGTGCAAATCCGCGCATGTAGTATTGATAAAAGGCGCGTATCAGCACCCAAACCAAATTTCACAGGAGAGGGATTTAACGTTATTACTTTGTTATTTCTATGGGTGTCGTAGCCATTGAAATAACAAAGTAATAACGTTAAATCCCCCGTCTGTGAAATTTGGTTTGGTGCAAATACGCGCCTTTTACCAATACTACGTACGCGGATTTGCACTATCCCCGAGATTACATCACACACATCCGAGATAGATTGTTTTGCCATTTCCCAGAAACTATCGTCAGGCAAAGCTACTTTGATTGCCAGTAGCATTCCGGTAACGCTCTCATCCATGACAAGATATTGGGAGGGCAGTATTCGTGTTTGTTAAGCTCTTTAAGCAAGTATGATGGCTGTACCATCGAGTTTTGGTTGGCAGTTTCTCCTGTTTTCCGTTCTGGTCTTTGCTGCAAAGCAGTCAATAGTTGACTTCGCTTGATTGCCTTTTTTTTTTGTCCTTACAATGTTTATGGCCATATCAATGGTTGCCTTGAGACACGCTCGTGAGGTTCGTTGGACACTTCTTGCGTTATCTCCTATTAGCACGACAAACTTCCTTTCGTCTTAGTGTGACATCACTTTTATTATTTCTTGTTGTAGGTATTTGGCATATAGTGAGGAAATTAATCAAGTAGAACATTTTGCAATAAATATCATTTAACATACAACAATTAACATAATACATTTGAATAAAATTGGATTGCGAAAAATAGTTAGTTTCAAATAGTTTCTGCCCGCATTTTCAGGCAATAATGGATTTTAATCTGATTTAAATTAATCCGGCGATCTCTGGCGTCACCATTTACTTTTTAACCATTGTGTTTTATTGTTTTCATGGAGACACACGTTTGTAATGTTGGTTTTTGCAAAATACAGGTATCGAAAAAAAAATTCCAATTTTCCATCTTTTTTTTATATTTTGTAATATTTCCACCATTCGTAATTTTTCGGACCCAACCACAGACATATATCTCGGTAGACGCCGTAAGTGTACGTACTTCGCGTGCCTAAAGTAAGTGAAATTCACTTACTTGCCGCTGCTACACTACAGAACGCGCTCGACCGTTATCGTAGATAAACACCAGTCGAAAACGCGAAAAATGCATAATTGTGCCTGTTATAAATTCAGCCAACTGAACTTATCTTCTTTATACTTCCTTCGATATCCTTATTGTAAAATGAAACTTCCTTAATCTGAAGTGGACTGTATATTCATATATGTCGATCTGACTTACAAAAACAAGAAACAACTTAATGTGACAAGTGGGAGTGATTGATAGTGATTGACAATTATTGCTTATATTTATACTAGTACGGTGTCCCCCACACCGTACCGGTCCTATCAATGGGTCGCTACGCCGCTCGGCCAATCAGAGCTCCTGAATTATTCATTCTTTTCTGAACTCTAGCTCTGACGCGTACGGCCGTCCGTAATAGTGCCATTATAAACTGCGAAAGCACCACCACGTAAACGGGTAAACAGGGACGTTTCCTTCCACGGAAAACAAATATGCAACCGAGTGTAAGCCTCGTGATTTGTAATACATTGCGGCTTTTACTTTGTGCGATATATTTGTGATCATTGTTAATACGCCATGAACATCGAACGAACGCACTTTTGTATAATGCAGTTTAGTGGTACGGCCGCTTGTACATTTCTTTGGCCAAATTTAACATTTAGTGATGTATACGTTAGGCAATACTGTTCTTGGTTATGATCCATTTTGAAAGCAAAGGGACGAAAATTATTATGACCTTAGCAATATTATAACAATATTCTATAACTCTTTTGTTATGACGTTTAGTAATGTTTCGTTTTTTTTTCAGTTTTGTAGTATTTATTATCAGTAGTATCTGTAATTTCGATAATTTTTGCAGCACGTTGCCTCGAATGTCCGAATATGGTGAGCAAATAATTACGTACATGGCCGGATATCTAGTATGAGTAATACAAAATAATATATAATGCAAAGAATTA